CTCGAACCTCCTGAATTGGAAAAAAAAAAAAAAAAAGACAGATAAAGTAAATTTTGTCTCTCATACAGCAATAAGAACCAAATGAGAGGCACCTGAGTCTTCATATCTGTCTCATGATCTGTCCTTCTGCCTTTTTATGCATCTGAATGTCTGATGGCTCTTTGAATAAGCATCAGAAAACCAAATACATTCATTATAGGTTAAACAATATTTCACATGACATAAAATCAATCTCTCATGTTTCAAAGAAAATAAAAAAGCATCTAGGTGAGAAATTATTTTGGTACATTTTTTTTTCTGGTTCAGTGGCTCAGCTACAAATCAGTTTATTCACATAGGTGTGAATAGAGATGCAAAAGTTGAGCATTTCACACACTGGAAGACAGGACTTAGAGAAAAAGCAGAAGAGGAGGTGAGAGCAGAAAAAGGAATTGCTTCAGCTAAAAAGAAGTCTAGACATATAGGCATCATGATTTCAGATTTCACAGAAGTTGGGGAAGAAGTGGACCTCCAGTTTTATGAAATACAGTTTTTGCTGTCACAGACAGTTGCCTCAAATAATCCTGTTCATTAGCTCAAGTTCCATTTTATAGTATAATATTAGTATGCAACATAAAGGTATTGCAATGAATAAATTAGTCTATGTTCAACATTAGATATTAAACCAACTACTTAGGCTTATTGAAAAAGCCAATTTCAGAAGTCAAGGAACTTTCTAAAATCATGTTTTAAATACTTTCTTTTCTTGCCTGGGAGGAATTGCATCTGTGATCTGAGTAGGTATTCTCACCATTGCTGTACCTATTGCAATATCTTAGAAGAGACACTGATGCTAGGTGGAGATTCATTGCAGTAAGAGATGGAAATGGCTATTGTCTGCTTGACTGGTAACTGTAAGAAAGCATCTTTGAGGCAGAGTATCATGAGCATGAAGTATCCAAGCTGCCGTCCCTTATGCTGAGCAGTTCTATTGAGAAGCTACTCTGTTAACAGTGATGCTATTCTCAGTAATACATTGTTTGACAGGCAAGGCCTCAGATGCTTCCATAATAGTGTTTGCTCTGTTTATGTGCAGTTAAGCACCACGAGCTGCAGCCCATGGGCAGCTGATTCAAAGCAACAGCTTGCTGCCACCAAAGGGGCAAATTCTCATTCTTCCTTTGCTCACCCTTCCCCTGTGCCTTTCCCATAACCAGCCCAGTGCAGTGCAGCAGCTCTAGTGCTTGTGGGAACCTTCATTGAGCTGATTCCCCTTGCTAAGACAGCAAAGTACTCCTGCTTCCTCCACACACACATACACTGTAATGCTGTCCCGTTGGGCTGTGTTGCTGCAGTCAATATTTGGTAGGTTTTATCAGACTTCTTTTGTTGGGCAACTAACCAAGCATTGCAGTCACCACCGTCTCGGTCAAGAGTGCCAGTGTAAGTCCTCAGTCTGCTTATGAAATACCAAAGACCTAAGTCTCCATGCAAGACAGTTGCATCCTGAAAGTTTCTCTGTTTGTTTGTGTATGAAATAACTAGAGCCGTTTCTGTGACAGCAGTCAGGGGGGCTAAATTTGATAACAGTAAATGAAGCTTAGGCTGAAAGAGCCAGGTAAAAATCAGTGACATTCCTCTTTTGCAAACTCTGTTGCAAAAGTGAGGGCTCTTTTCATGTTCCTTGGGAGAAGCCTCTGAGGTTGAAAGGTTTTACTGCAGATACTCATTGCACAGAGTAGCTCTGCACACAGCTACTGGTTGATTCATTAATTTTCTTAGGGAGGTCCCAGTTCCAATCCAGTAAAAATGTGCACTGAATTGTTCTTGGAATCCATTTATCTCCTTACGGAATATGTCGCTGCTCAGACGCTGCTCGCAGCTGCCAGGTTACGAGAAGCCTTGTCTGTCACATGCTCTGCATGTCCATCCAGCCTCTCCTGGTCCATGACTCTTCCCCACTCTTCTGCCGTAAGGTTCTGTCGTTCGAGTTGCAGTCTGTGGCAAGGCATGTGTGTGAAATATACTTTTGAGGGAAAAAGAAGTCCACATTTTTTTAACCTCTCATTGTAAATCTAGCTTCACAGGTACCCATGATAACACCGAGGCTGACCAGGAGGAAAATTTCTGGTCTCAGGCTCTGGAGGATTTAGAGACCTGTGGCCAGTCAGGAATTCTGAGGGAACTAGAGGTAGAACAATCTTAACCTTTCTTTCCAATTGTAGAGAAATAAAATGGTTTTGGTTTGGCTTACATTCATTTTATTTTCTCCTTTTTTTTCTTTTAAGTTTCACTAATCACACCAGTTCATTTAAAAGCTTTAACCCCTCTCCACAGGACAAGGCTGACAGGCGTCTGTGTTTGAGAAACATGACTCTCTTGGTACCTACCCTTTACCTTTGTATTTTCGCTTGTGCAGCTGCCTCCCCCGCCCCTAACCAGAGCTCTTTTCTTTTGTACAATGCAACCAAAATTCTATAAACGTGTTCACCCCAGAGCTTTTGACTTGCAGCTTCTGCTGTGCATAACCATTGATGCTGCCTGCACAGGCAGCAGATGTCGCAGAACTCTGAAGTGGGCATAGCCTTCCTGCAGCAATGCATCCTGTTCTCTGACAGACGCTTTATGCAGCTTTTCTTAGCATGTTGTAGGTTGTCTTTTAAATTGAAACTTAATTTGATTAAGATGAACATAAAAGAAAATCAGCTTTTTAAAACGTTCCCCTATGATCTTACCTCTCTGCAAAAAAACCTGCTAACATCTTACAGCAAATTTTTCATTATGTAACAAATTTTCACATTTCATCCTGAAGTCAATTGCAAATATAACCATGTTTCACGTTAGATCATGAGGGGGATAAAAGGGGGAGGGAACAGAGACAGAGTACCTTTGAGTCTTATTTTCCTAATGACTTTTTCTCTGAGTTGTCTAATCAGAACAATTAAGAGGACTCTGCCACTGAAAGCTGTGGAATGAAAGGTCCTAAAATATTTTCTTTTATGTTCTTTCAAATTCCTGGAGCTGCAAACCTGGCAGAATCTCATTTTCATTTTTATGTTCTATAAAGTCCTTTAGCAGCCAGGAGGAATGTGAATGGCGTAACTGGGTGAAAGATTTTCAGTTCAGATTAATTTACTCCTTCAGATTTATGGCTTTTGTATTGCACGTATGGGTAGCAAAACGTGATTCTCACGTATTTGTTATTGCAAACCAGAGAAATATAGGAGAAAATGTTATACTGGTTTAATTCCATAGTTAGATATGGCTCACTACCACAGGCTTCTCTCACAATTTTCAATATTCAGAGCACAATAAAAGGATGTGGAAATAGATAATTCTGAAATGGAAATAGATCATTCATGCCTACAGAATTCAGTTACTTCAACATGTCAAATTTTCCCCAGCCTTTCCCAGAAGTGAGAACTGTAGATGCTGTATAGTTTATAGCATCGCCCTGTTCAGAGCCCACAGCTCTGGAAAGAAAGCAAAACTTACTCAGTATGACAGGATGCTGAGAATAGTGATGCCTCTATTTTATGAAGTGCCATTATGTAGTCAAGGACTCCTTATCATTCTTTATTTCAAGGTCTTCAGCCAAAGAGCAAAGAAAACTGTTGTTTGCCGAGTCCTCTGGATGCTTTTGCTCCATCAGGCAGTAATAGCAGTCATTACCGAGCACAAGAAAGACTGTAAAGAGGCTACAATATATTATGTCATAGTGAAAGCAGTGCTGGAGCTGGGAGAAAGAAGGGTGACAGACATGCTCACCAGGGTCAGAAGAAAACATTTATTTGCCTGTCTTCCCCTTATTTTTTTCCTCCTTTCATTTTTACTTCTCATTTTCCAGCAGGCTGCCTGCATCCCATCCCTGTCAGAGTTCAGGCTATGGCCTTTTAATTTCCCTTTTCACTTGTCCATCGGCACCAGGGAGAATAAGTAGGAAATGCAGTGTACCCTATCCCTGCAGTGCTAGGTCTGTATGGTGGCTGTGCCAAAGCACATTTGCCTCCCACTCCCCAGAGCAGAAAGTCTTTCACAGGGAGGAGGCTCCTTGCTGTGCACAGGTGCTTTTCATGTCAGTCCATTCTACCCAATGGATGAGACGACTCCTGCTGTTGTCTTTCAGGATTTCACCCTCCTTATATTCTTGCATCTAACATAAAAGGCTAGGTTTGACTGAGATTAAAAACTGGCAGTCAGGCTGCAGCTTGTATCCCTGCAGCATTAGTGCTGAGCTAAGGCACTCTTGCAGTATGCATGTTAAGGCAGGGAGTGAGCTTACCTGCATTGAGCTTTCCTTGGCCTGGGATGGTATCCAGGCATGCTCGGTGCCAGTGCTGGCTCCAGAGCCGCCTACATACTCTGCCGACTCACATTTTTTAACTTGCACACACAGCCTGAATTGTAAATGCCTTCCTATAACTCCAATTCTAACAAATGCAATTATGCCACAACTCAAATGTCTTTTTACTTACGTGTAAAACATTTGTAAAATAAGCAATTCAGCTACACACTCTTCAGTCTGCCAGGGGACTAGCTTTCAAGCATAGCTATTTAGTGCTCAGTATTTTAGTTTGAAATGCCATCTGAAAACTTTTGCCCATAGGGTTCTGTTATTGTTGTTGTGTTTTGCTGTGGTCCTTTGTTTCATAGTGACTTGCAAGCAGATTGCACATCTATCCTCTTGCCTTTTGCTGTGCCCTGAGTGACTGTGTTTTAACAGAGAATAGAGACTCTTTTTCTACTGCTGTGAATTAACTGCTTACCTAACCCACATTCTGTGTTAAATATTAACCTCTTCATTAATGCTCTAGGCCACAATTATGTCAGGAAGTACAATGAGTTTGAATCATGAAAACCCACAACCTCGTAACCAGCTGGGAAGACAAGCCAGCTTCCAGGAAAGAAGTACTGTAAGGCCACATTACAGTCAAGCTACTCGTAGCAACACATTGCCATCAGATGTGGGGAGAAAGTCCATGGTTCTGAGAAAAATTAAGCAAGAAATGAAAGAAATCATGTCACCAACTCCTGTGGAGTTACACAAGGTCTGTAATTTTTCTTCTGACAGCTTTGAAATAATATATTCAGTATAGGGAATTTAATTCTATGGCAATGCAGTAAGCACTTTTTATAATGACTCCACAGATGTAATTTGGGGGCCATGCATATTAGTTCATACACATTAATGATACATCCTTGTGGGGGAAACTTACAAATAAAATGCATCCTTGTCTACTATTTTGTTTTACAATAAATCCTCAAAAGGGACTACTCTTTTGCAGGGAGCATCCACGGGTAATTTGAATTGACAATTCCAATAACTCATCTCTGCAAAATGTGTTCATTAAGAAAGCAAAGTTTAATTTCTAGGAAATACATTTCTTTAGGAAATTACTCAAGAGGGTTTGGGGCTCCCATTGGTCCTTTTCCAAATTAACACTCATTTTGAATCAAATACATGAGACTCAATGTACGTAATATTGAATGTTATTTCAAATTAGCTATTCCGTCTCTTCTCTTTGTAATTCCTTTGCTCTAAAAGGATAAATAATCTTCAGTCTATGCAACTTTTCATGGCTCAAGGCTGTCAAAATCACCTGGTGATTGGCCTCTCTGCAGCCCAAGTACCGGATAACGTATCTTTAGATGTGCGCAGCAAACACCCTGCTGGTTTAAATTTCAAGTCCAGTGAGGCCATAATAGCAACCAGTTTCCAAAACTTTTGGGGACATTATAATGCTTTTCTCCTTGATGGCAATGAGGATCCTGTCTCCTGCACCCATCTTCCTCTTAAAGGTCTAAGAACTTCCCAGAAAGGAGGCAAAAGTATGGAGAAATACCACTAAGAGGTTGTTGTTCTTAAGAGAGTTGGTTCGGTTTCTAGTGCCTGTGGGTTTGACTGAGTTTAGGTTGTAGTTCATTCAGTTTCATTCAGCGAGGTAAGGACTCATTGAGTAAGGGCTAAATGAATGTTTACAGAAGGTAGTAGGGAGTGGATTTTACATATGGCAAATTAATCCACTGCCAATGTAAACAATCAGTAGGATGTGTTGTGATAGTTTTAAGGTATTCATATTTCCAGCTTGATATGAAGTGATTAATGGTGTTAGTTACTGTGCTTACATTTCCTGAATGGCGAAAAAATGTGGGATGTAAATCAAAACTACACCAGTAGGCATTTCACAGAGTGCTCATGTTTAGCAAAGGCACAGTTTTCTCCTGTGAATTATAAAACCAGCCTTTCATGATGGATAAAATAGATCTTTTCCTGAAAAGGAGCAGTCAGATTTTATTAATGAATCAGTATTCTATGATAGCTGCTACCTCTTAAAGAGTCCTGGGCAGTACAAAATACCCTGTCCTTGAGCTTTCTCTCTCTTCAGTTGCCTATCTTTTAAGATTGCTGTGACCTTCTGTTTTTGATGACTTCCAGGTTTTTTTCAGACAATATACCCACTTTTCCCCTCTCTCCTGAGTTGATGCAATACGTATTTTCCTAAGAGATCTTGCTGTTGGGCCGCTGGTGAGACAACCAGCGAAATACAAACTGGTTTTGGAAAACTGTGATGGTATAAATAGTCTTTGAAATGCAAGCTAAGACACAGCTTGCCTAAGACCTACCTCAGTAAGACCTTCAAGCGTGTACTTGTCTGCATGCTGCTGAGGTTTCCCAGTTTCTTCTGCAGGACAGGTCAGGTACCTTGTTACTGCCTCAGTGCGATGAGCCTGCACGCCTGTTGAGCCAGGGCCCATGTGCACTGTAGCTCAGAGTTCATACCTGAAGTCTGATTGCAGAAAATGGGTTAGCTAAGGTTGATGTTCCACTGGTTTTTCATAACTTGATTGTGAGAGAGCAAGAATATAAGATTCTACCAAAGGAAAAGCCATTAAAATGAAATGTATCAATGGCCGGCCTGGCTGTATGGGCTGAAAGACTGAGACGAGATGAGAATTGCTCAGGCTACAAACACAGATGAGTAAGTCTAATGGAACAGCATGGAGAGCAGATTGCATTGCTAGCTTGTCCTCCTCAGCTATACACCTGTCAGAAAGGTGACACAGCCCCGAGGATTATTTTGCTGAAAGCTGCAAACTTTGCAGCAAGTTAAGCTGAATCCTTCACTGCTCTTTCTTACTTCACAGCATTACGTTCACCAAATGTGTACTTGAACTGTCTTTGTCCTGAGGATGCTAGGATTGAGATAAGTGTCGTGCAGATCTCTTCAAACATTTGTTCTAGATGGTTTAATAAGTAACGTTTAATTTAGCTGGAGAACATATTGCTGTATCAGTACCCAAATTAATGAATGTCTTTAATTGGTTTTATCTACCTAGGTAATCATACAGATTAATATTTTTCTAAAACTCACAGCGGAGCATTTTTGTTAAAGTTTCATAGAGCACACGTTCCTCTGAGAGCAAAAATACGAACTAGATATCACATAATTTTTCAATATTATTACTGCAAGTAGTCATTAACCTAAAATCACAGTCAGGTAAAATACCTTAATAGCTGATCTGTGCAAGATGTATGAATTTAAATTAAGCATTTTCCCATAGAATTGAGAGGGAGAAGAGGCATAGAAACAGATTCAAAATGTGTAAGCGTCTCTTTTAAATTTGTAACTATTTAATTGCTTATGAAATATGAATGAACTTCCCATTTCAGCTTTCTTTTTCCCTTAGGCTCCTGATGTAAATTGAAAAGTCTAACAAACTGCCCATAATGGAGATTTTGCTATCAAGATCAAACCTTCTGAACAGTTGTGATCAGAAATACAGATAAACCAGCACGATTTTACCAGGTGTTGTGTGAATTGACTGTGCTACTGGCTAGTGAAGATGAGAAACTTGAGTGGTAGGGCTTTGCCCATACCTGTTATTAACTAAAAACCTGGCTATTCCAGATAGTGAGGTTTTTACTCTGCAATTCTCTTTGAAGAATACATGCTGCCCCAAAAAGAATTGCCCCCAAAATTATAACCTGTATATGCAAAAGAAAATGCTGTGCAGATGACTTGCACCTAAGTAATGTGATAGCTAAATCTCAGCCTCATCCCTTAAGTGAATAACTCTCAGTTTCTTTAATTTCCAAGCTCCTGTCAAATAACCCAGAAGTCAAGAGAAGACAGCCATATAGGAAACAGTTTTTAAAAATATTCTAGGATCTGTAGATCTGAAGAACCACTGAAATGAGGAGATATTTTGATATGTAACAGTTGCAATTGCAGGGTAGTAATTCCCTTCCAGAGTGCTCAGCCCATATAAATCAGGAATGTCCAACCTGAACAATTAGGGGGGCAATACAAGACATTTAGATGCTCAAGTTCTGCTCCCCTCCTGTCACACACCCACCCCCAACTGCAGTACTTCCCACTGTCCCCCTACAGCAAAACTCCGCTTTTATGCCCCTTTTTGCAGTATTCCTTTTTCTGAGTTACAAGCTGGGCATGAAGTAGTGTGTGCATTATTAGAGACAAGCTAAAGTGAGCTAATGTGGAATGGCACTTCCTGTAGATCTGTAGAGTAGAATTTGTATGTATTTCATTTTAGGCCACTCACTAAAACCAGGGAAAAAGCAAGTGTCTTAGAAACATACAAATGGGACCACTATCTTTAGTACACACAGAATTATTCTCTACTACAACTTTTCTTTGATAAGGTCTGGACTGTAATAGAGTGTACAGTTTGGAGTCTGAAAATTAAAGAAGGATGCTGACCTACTGAACAGAGTCCAGAGAAAAACAAACCTTGTTTCACATCACTGCAGTGAAAGAGAGAATAAAGTGACCTTCTTCTCTGTGGACAGGCAGCTTAACTCTCAGCAAGGGTGAAAACATCTGAAGCACTGGAAGGGATTACTGTACTAGACTGTGGAGTCTCCATCACTGGAGATCTTAAAAAGCAGGACAGACGAATGTCTCTCAGAAATCTGTTAGATGCAGTTGACCCTCCTGTAGGTCAAGAGTTCAGTTTAGATGACTTCAGAGAGCGCCCTGTTTCATATGCTTTTGTAGTTCATGCGAGATTGAATCCAACTCCATTCAACTCCAGTGCCTGAAGGAAGAGGAAAGGGAAAAGGAGTAAGTGGAAAGGGGAAATTGCTTTGAAAAATGGTGCCATCTGTGCTAGAAGAAGACACAGTATTTTAACTCTTCTCTTATGCACTGTATCACATCTTTATTTTTCAAGGCTTCTTTAAGAAGTAATTAACATGAAGCACTCCTATCCTTTGTGACAGTGAGGAAAAAAAGTTACCTCATTGGAAGATAGTTTGTGTCTTGGGTCCAGTGCTAATTATTTTTCATTCCTGCCATGGAATGCACACAAATGTGTCAATAAAATATATCTCCCTCCTTTATTTAGTAGAATCGTAATCTTAAAGCACTTTCATAGAGGCTTCAAACGTATTTCACATCAAAGCCATATTAAACATGCTATGATACAATAAACAAAAGCCTCTCTCTGTTGATAACAAATTATCATAAGTTTCCCAGAGTCCTGCTGGTACAGCAGCCATTGATACAAACTAAAATCATTCGATGATGAATCATTTTGAATTTGCCAATAGGTTTTTTTTAGTAGTTGAAATGCTCATTGACTCCTAAAATTCATGCTGAGATGGAGGAATTACGACTTCCATCACAAAGTTACTTTGGAGGAAGACGGGAGAAAAGCCAGCAAAGACCTTAAACACAGCAGTGCCTGGCAAGTTTCAACTGACAGCTCAGACAGAAAAGTCACAGGCAGGGAGAAAGCCTTCAGCTCCGTTACGGGGACTTTAGGTGTGCCTTTCTTCTTGGCTGTGCCGTACAGAGCAAGAAAAACAAGGGAAGTTGAGGAACTGGTATAAAGTAAGGGGTGAATACCGTGTGTGGGTATTTGTGCTTACCTTGGCATGAGACAGAGGTGTTTTCACAGCACCCCAACAGTGAATGCACCACCGCCACATCTACAGATACAGCAGTGCTAATGTTGCAGCAGTTGGCATTGTATCTAACTTCTCCCAGCTGTTTCCCAGGATAGGTATCAAACTTACTTAGGGAGTCTGTTTTCATTATGGTTAAAGCAGTACTGGTACACCAGTAAAGCCAAGTCAAGAAAACTGAAACAAAACAGGGAAAAACAAACAAACCACGCACACACACAAAAAAAAACAAACACCAAAACCCACAAATTAAAAAAATACTACCGAACAAAATCCCAAGCCAACTATTTGTATCCCTCATTCCTGTTTAGAGACAGCCTTGTCTGTTCTTGCTTACCTTTTTACATAGCAGTCAAGGCAGGGTCTCAGCAGCTTTCTGAAGGCACCACTAACCAGCACTGTGCTCCGGCACTGCTGCACCCTGGCATTCTTCTGTGAAGTACTGATCAAGTCCTCAGCAGCCCGATCTGAATTTGGGCTTGGCCTGCCTTGAGCAGGAGGTTGAACATAAAGACTTCCCAAAGTCCCTTCAATTTGAATGATTCTGTAAGTCAAGAAACACCAGAGAGGAATTCAGCAGCTGGCACACGCAAGTATGCGGCAGATAGAGTGTTACTAGTACTGAACCATTATAAAATTACAATGCATTAATTAATGGTGTCATTTTATCCACCAAGGTATGGTAAAACCAGTATTTTGAACCCAAAGTGACATAAAGCTATAGGAGTAACAGCTTGATTTTGATTGTGTGACTGTATCTGCACACACATTTTGTGCCAGCACTGATGTCAGTTGCATGTCATGCCAGTGACTCACACAACTTACTTGCATAGGTCTGTACTCCTGATGTGAGAAAGAAGCAAGAAAAAGTAAACACCTCACAGAAATAAAAACCTCAGCGTGCCACATACCTAGACAGAAGTCCCTGAATCTTTATCAAATAACTGAATTCACAAAGCTACCTGTGAGGACTTGCTCTTTGAACACACCTGCAAAACCTTCTCCTAACTGCTGTATTAACTTCTGTTTCCTGCTTTTGAATGACCATCTCATGGCTGTGTAAGAACACTGCCTGCAAGCTCTTTTAGAAGGAGCCTCATTTGTATTTTAACAGATTGCATTACAACTCCTGTACTGAGCACTTTTGAGATTGGCCTTTACAGGGTGGACCATTGCCTAGCCAAAACCATGCTAGCAAAGACTTACAGTACCAGTAGTGTTTATGACTGCTGGAAGTTTTGGAAGACTTGACATTGATTAATTGGTTGAGGCCAGGTCGTGATCCCTGAAACAAAGCTAAACCTAATCTTTTACTCGGATTCTGGCAACTGGAGAATAGGGTAGCAAAAATACTAAGACTCAACAAATTATACCAAAAAAGGCGGGCTGAACACCACAAAGTTCCAGTTGATGAGCAGAAGTGAGAAGGGCTTTTTGTTACTGAAGAATAAGGTGGCTTCTGATATAATGTCAAAATGGGGACAACTGTAACACTGTAAGTACCAAACAGTAGGTAAGTGATCTCTCTAATGTGGAAAAAAAAAACCTTACCAAAACCATCCTAGGAAAAAAGCCCACCTAATGCTCATAGAAATGTAGACAAATGTTTTTGTTTTCCCTTCTCATCATGTCCATCACCTCCACAGGTAACTTTGTACAAGGACTCAGATGGAGAAGACTTTGGGTTCAGTGTCTCAGATGGTTTACTGGAGAAAGGAGTGTATGTTAAAAACATTCGACCAGCTGGCCCTGGCGATTTGGGAGGTTTAAAACCATACGATAGGCTTTTACAGGTAAGGCTTCTGGCACCACGCAGGTTTATGAATGAAGAGACATGACATACATATGATGTTGTACAAACATTTATAACCACCACGCTGCAGGGTGTTTGGGTGTCTGCCCTATGCAGATGTAGAAAACTGCATGAAGCATTTTCATTGCTTATTTGGAACAGCCTTATTATCTACATCACTTACTGTATTTTAAATTATTGAGTACTGAAATATTAAAAGTACAAAGCACTCTTGTATTTCTGCTGGGAAAAGATTTGTGTAGGGGGATGGGATGAAAGACAAATGATCATGATCACTCTGTGCCACAGGCTGTGTAAATCACTTTACCTCAGTAAGAAAAGGCTGCACTTTGTGGTGACGGGCTTTTCTGCAGCAGCACGAGGGCTAGACTTTCTGTGAAGTCATCATAGACAAATTCTCTCAGAATGTTAGGTGTTTCAGAGCTCCACAGGAGACACAAATGCTCACAGGAAAGCTGGAATTCCCCAAGATGTTTCCAGACAGATTTGTAATTTTTGCTGTCCTTGATACAGACTTGACAATTGCTTCTGTGTTTGATCCAGGTTTTTGAGTGACATAGTTGGAATAATGTGATAGTCAGCACCATGCTTACCACAGTGCCAGGTTGGACTGTGATGAGAAAACCACATTATTTGTCAAATAGCCCAATACTTTATATAAATTTATGTGTATTAATTAAAACACGAGAAGACCTGAACTGAATTGACATTTTGGATGTACACTATTGCATCGAAATGAATGAACCATGACAGATGAAATAACTATGTGCTGTTCAGTGTCGTTTATGGTGGGCATTGTGACAGCTGCCAATAGCTCTCACCAGTGCAAACATGCCCACTTCAGCAACATTCCATTGCAAGGTGTAAAAACTTAACTGGTGTCTTCAGACCAGACACCACGGCTAAATAGTCTTGTACTGGGCAATTCTTTACCTGGAATTTTTAAATCAGGTTCCATAGTCTCAAGGATAAATCTGTTTCTCTTGTGATCTCATTTCTTTCTCCTGAAATAGTAACAAAAATCCATCTTCTAATTGTCCAGGTAAACCATGTTCGCACCAGAGACTTTGACTGCTGTCTGGTTGTGCCCCTCATTGCAGAATCTGGCAATAAGCTGGAGCTGGTTATTAGCAGAAACCCGCTGGCACCTCCTAAAGGAAGCTCAGAACAACAGACTTCAGTGAGTGGGGAGTGGTGTGATCAGACTAATGCCTTCCTTCAGCAGAGCGGACACACTGATGTTCATACAGAGACACGGGATCCTACAAATACATTATAGCAGAAAATCATTTTAGTGGGACATTCGGTAACAAAAGACAATTATGGTGCTAAATCCCTTTAAGATTTCTCTGAGATTAAGGCTCAGATGCTGTATAGCACTAAAAAGCACAGCTCAGTCTTTTTGTCTCAAGGCTTGTATTAATTCATGGTTACTTCTGAAAAGGTTTAATTCTTCATTAAGTCAAGTCAGTCCATTCTAAACAACCTAGCATTAGCAACAGTACAAAACTCTTAAGGGCCTTTTCTTCCCCCCAGATAGGAAACTGGGGAGATGTTTTAAACATCATTTAAATGTTCCTCTCTTCCTCAGCAGCTGCTGTTTGAGGGAAAAGCACAGAGTTGACCTCTGCTAACAAACAGTGGTGTCCAGGTTATGCGGTTTTTAAAACACATTTTATCAATCAATGAGAAAGGTGCTGCCTGAGGGATAAGGAAGTGTGATGCTACACTGGGTTTTCTTGTTAAATGTCTAGAGCTGTAATTTCCAGAACCTTTATTCTGCTGGCAAGGAGGGTGCACTCTTCAAACAAGGCATGGCCGAGATGTTTAACAACGTGGTTGCAGGAGGCTGCAGTATGAGGTGAATGTTACTGCCCCACTTTGGTACATTTTGTTAGAAGGTATGTTCTTCCCTATGCAATGAAATATTTTAACAGTCTATCTTGCAGCCTGTGGGGATTTTTAAGCAGAGACTTTTCTAGTGGGATAAAACCTCTGTGGATTACTGACAAGAGTGAAACTGAAACGAGTTCAGACAAAACAGAAAGGTTTTAAAAGAAAATGGCTTTTTTTTTAAACTATGTCAGTGGGAGACTGATACAAAAGCTCTTTAATGATCCATAAACCTGTAAACTTGTACTGACACACGTGAGCTTTTTAAGTAAGTCAAGTCAATTTCTTGAAGGGACCAAAGTCCTATTTACTTTGTTTTCAGGCTTCTTTATGATAAATGTTACCCCCTGCAACACGTTTTTAGGATTTAAAATTGTAAATATATTTTACAAACACATCACACAAACTCTCTCCTCTCCCCCCAAGCAATAAAGTACTGCCAGTTGCATTATATGCTCACCAGCAGCTGCTTTGGTTTATTCCGGTATTCAAGTTGTTATTGGTAATTACTGTTCTTGGTGAATATAAAGATCCTGGATTTGTACATTTGTAGAGTCTCCGTATCTAAACAGTCACCTTACCGAGTTGTTTCTTCTCAATTTCAACTGTTTAACTGTATCCCTGTTGTTGTTTCCAACACATGAACAAGCTCACCTGCCCCACACACACACCAATCTCTGATTTCTATTTCAGCACTGCCAGAAACGGTCAGAATGACATTCAATGCTGAATCATGTAAAAAAAGAAGGAGAAAAAAAAAAGTTCATGAGTCACTTACTTAAATATGTATTTTTATTTGTAACAAATAAGCATTAAACTGTAAAGTATTTTTGTACAAATTTAATACTTTAATAGCATGATATTTATCGTCTATGTTATGTTTTTTGAAATTCAAACTGTTGCAAATATTTGTATGGAAAAACTACTGTATAAATTGAAATAAACAGTGATTTAAAGACATAAAAAATGAGGTGTCATTTTTTCCACAGTTTTTTGGGGAAAAAAAAATTCCAGCTTTATGTATAAAAAGAAAAAAGGAAGCTGTCCAAATTTTAGTGCAATTTGCCTGACGTTTGATCAGCATCCGTCTTGCTGATCTCCAAGGTTACAATGTGGTAAGTCACATACATGGTACACAAAAGTTGAAATTGGAATATTTTATCTAACTAACTCCAACTTGGAATTCTGACTTCTTACCCAGATCATTACCAGCATATAATTCTGAGCTGAAGCAGCAATGGCAAGTTGTACATCTCTCTCAAGTACAAAGTGGGGGAAAACTTCTGTCACTGGTTGCAACTTCCTTGTTCGTTCTAATCTTTTAACAAGATTAAAACCCATAATCAATGAAAACTTCATGCCCACAAACCTGCCACACCAGAAACATCCAAAGTCCCCTTTGTAAACTGTTTTTTGACTCCCAAGAGCAAACCACAGTTTTGGCATATGTAACAAGTTCTCAGCAGTTCTGTAGATTAGGAGATGGACAGATCGTGGTATGGCCAGCTAGTCTTCAAATCCAGAAATCACCAGGTATTTTTTATGGAACATCTGGATCCTCTCATTCTTCACTGAAACAAAATAATTGTATTTGATGACCAACACACCCTTTTTACCAAAGGGCAGATCACTGAAAAGGGCTTACTTTAAAACAAAAAAAAGCATGTACTTTATAGAACATGCTAGTTACGGGAAAGCCTACAGGAAAATTATCTGCACAACCGGCTTCTCTGCTCCGAATTCTTGAATGGAACAGGTTCAAGAAAGATTCATAATGAGGACAGTCGATTGGCTGTTACTTCTTTAAAAGCTTCCTAGGAGTTACGTGACCCAAAGTTAGATTCCTAAGTCTGGAAGACTGAAGTGGGGAATCTTCTGCTCTCTGTCAAAACAGAACAAAAATGTTATCAGTGTTTGAACTAGAACTAAAATCATAAAATCACAGAATGGTTTGGGTAGGAAGGGAACTTAAAAGATCATCTAATTCCAACCCCTCTCCCATGGGCAGGGACACCTTCCACTAGATTAGGCTGCTCAAAGTCCTCTCCAGCTAGGAATGGGGCAGACACAGCTTCCTTGGTCAACCTGTGCCAGTGTCTCTCCACCATAGTGGAGAGTTTCTTCCTAATACGTAATCTAAATCTCCCCTCTCACTTTAAAGCTGTTCCCCCCTTGTCCTGTCACGACATGCCCTTTTAAAACATCCCTCTCTAGAATCCTTGCAGGTGCCCTTTAGGAAGACTGTTATAATGTCTCCCCTAAGCCTTCTCTTCTCCAGGCTGAATAACCCCAGATCTCTTAGCCTGTCTTCGTAGGGGAAGTGCTCCAGTCCTCTGATCATCTTTGTGGCCCTCCTCTGGACTTGCTTCTACAGGTCCACATCCTTCTTATATCAGTGGCCCCAGATCTGAACACAGTAGTCCAAAAATACAGTAGTGTCCTCAAAAACAGTTTTTTTCCCCATGACAGAGCTCAGAAATGAGACATAATGAAAAAAACACCTATCAGGCATGTCTGATTGTATAAAAACGGCTTCACCAATTAAATTTTATATAAAACTCTTACAGCATGTCTGCTCTTAAAAACAGACTTCTCCATACAAAGAGTAAGTGACTATAGCCTAAGCTACTCATTGGAGAGATGTGTCGGCTAATAAGGTGTATAAATTTGCTACTATTGACATTGTTAACTTATTTTTTTCATATTACTCTGGGAAAACGCCTGCCAAACTGAACTGCTTTACCAGTTACTGGGGATCTGGAAAATTATTAAATAAATAATGGTAAAATAATCGTAACAGTAAGAAGGTGATTTGTGGTGGTTAAAGACAGTGCAGGAGTTTGTTTTAAGCCTTCCCAGTTCAGAGATTGATACTCACCCAGGGTGTTTTCATAGCATCCTCGGACTTCTCTGCAAGGGTTTGTTGTCTTTTACGTGGGCTTTGCTGCAAAATGTCTGTCTGCTCTTCTTTAATGAGAACTGCTGACTCTTCCTGTTTAATCAAGTCTGTTAGAGATTCAGGTGGCTCAGGAGCACCTTGGGTTAGACTAACAGACTGAGTCTCAAGCTCCTGACTTAACCAGCTGTTGGTCAGGGGGGACGAAGTGTGTCCGGGACAGTTGCTCCTTTCTGCAATTGCCTCTCTCAAAAATCTCTGTAAGTGAGTTTTTCTGGGCACATTCTTGTTAGTGACCGCTCTCCTGAGGTGCGGCTCTTCTGCTATAACATAGACACGGCAACATCCTCTGGTCACAGCTGTGTACACATGCTGCCAGTGCTGACGGCCAGGGTTGCCAACCACATAGACAACAGTTTTCTCCTCAGAACCCTGAAACATGTTTAAAAACGCCTTATCAAAGTGAGATCTCCAGTAAGTAGCTGAAAAAAAAGACACAAAAACAAGGAAGGTGGCGACAACTGCAGATACTCCCAAGAATATCTGCTATCCTGCATTCAAGGAATTTTAGTTTCAAGAGACCCTCTGGCTCTTTCACATGAAAATACAGTGCATTCACAAGTTAAAGCCATAAGAAGGTTTTATCAGCTCACAGCTGCTTTATTTTTTACCTGAAATGTGTGAATAGTTCTGGCCCATGCATGTTTTATGTGGCATAGCTTCTTTAGTGCCTTGTACTTCACAGTGTATGTAGAGCCGTATGTGCTGCTGATGGTCAGTAAGCGCTGTTTATTAATTTCTACATCCTAAAGAAACACCACAAGAACACTCAGCAATAAGCTTGTATCAGCAGTTTCACCTGAGTCCATACATCCGTGTGTATCCATATTCCAGCCTTCCCTGAAATTACTGCAAAAATAGCTGCACTATCAACCCAGTGAAATAATTTCAGAAGACGGTAAACCCAAAAGACAGCTATCTTTCAACTGACCACCTTGAAGGAAAAGTAGTTTCACTTTACAGGGCCTTCCCTAACTCCTTCTGTTTAGGAAGGAAAATGCTGACTAAGGTAGTTTTAACCCTCAGAAAACTGATACAGTGGATACAGTGAAATACAACAATGAGGCCACTTTAATGATTTACTGCCATGAAGGCAAAGAGCCGACTCTCTCCCACCAACCCTATATGGTGCCCCATCCCATGCACAAGTATTAGTACTTTCACTGGACCATCTGCTGAGTCAATTCAGCTCACTGAAGCCAGCAAATAAATACAGAGGTTTTGCTGCTCTATTTTTTTGGTCAGCTTAGTTTTCTAAGGATCCTGATCTTAGATTAGGGGAG